GATACGCCTCCACAACCCTGAGTCCAGAGTTGTGAAAACAACGATAAGGATGAATATAAGCATACTGGCGTGTAAGGGTGTGCTCAGGCACTTGGCATTGCAGTCGCAGTGTTTAGCCCACAGATTGATAACTTTTCATTAGAAATTTGAAAAGTTAAATTTAAGTAGCCTGCCAATGACCCGTAGAGCACCCAGGTTAACCCCACCTCCTCATGGTGCACGCTAGAAAACTGAAGGGTAACGGGGCAATGGCTCGCCTGGAAGGAGACAGGCATCAACTTGGTCAGATGCGTCCTGCCCGCCACGCGCCTAGCAAGTCGGCAATGGTGTATTTGACTGCTACTACTCAAGAAACATTGAATGATTATAGGACAGACTCTTGCTGACATCAGACAATCAATAGGGTATAAGAACAGAAAATAACTACATGTGAAATGTGCTGTCTCTGCAAGGTTACTAACAACACTATATGAAGTGGTCAAGCCATTTGGCTCACACTTTGAAGGTCATGGGTTCATTTCATGGCTGCGTCGTTTCGTTTACACCCACAATTTTTATTAAGGTCCTTTTGTGTCATCTTCGGCACATTTACTTTGTTGTCCGGATGTGTGAGTTTTTCTTCTTTATCAATAGCCGCTTTATTCCCGCTAGGTGTCACAGATTAAAAGATTATAGGTAGCAGAGACTGGTGACTCTGTTGGTCGGTATATTGTCAAGTCGTAGGCTGTCAGTGACGCAGTCAATCAATTTCAGGGACAATCTAAAGCATTGCCGAAGGTTGAGACGCTAAGTTATGTGGAAAACAAGGATAGACTACCACATTTTATATTTCTAGCAATTCTAAACAGAAAAAGAATCTCAAAAATTAAGCCATGTTAAGGATCAAGGTGGCCTGAAACAGAACAGCGACGTAGAGTGCATTTTCTGTAAAACGAGGTAGAGGTAGACTCTGCGAAGATGGATGCAAGGCACTGAAGATGCACTGGCCATGAAAGCACATAGGGCTAGTGAACTGGCTAGAGAAAAAGAGACTTTTAGTTGCTCTGTAAATCGAAAGATGTTCTGTAAAGGTTCTGCTGACTGATGATGATTCACAATATTCTCAATTTCTATAACATTGAAGTACAAAAACCTTTTTGATGTTATTTATTGTCTGTGATATGGCCCATAACTCACATCTTTATGCTGCCACAGCAATGAGAATGCTTTCAAGCTGGTGCTGTGAAATAGGTACATCGTGCTATTTATATTTAACTTTGGCATTACAATAGCCAGTCTCCTTTAAAAAAAACAGGAAACAAAAAAGTAAAGGGGTAGAAAACACTGGCTTTATTATAATCTAAAAGTTGATTTTAAAATGTTATCAATGACAAACATCAATTATTCTATAACTTTCACTCAGCCTCATTTTAAAAACATTACACACTCAAAAACTTTCGTCAATCTCTGAATACAACACAACACACATTAACTTAAACAAACACAAGATGCTCAAATTAATTTCATATAAAGCAAAATACAGCATAATGGTAGGAAATTCCGCAAAAACGTTCACACGACCTGCTGACCAATCCAATTCCTGTACACAATAGTTACATTGCTGTAGATAATCTCACATTTTCTCTAAGATAACCAGACAACACATGTAAAAAATGAAATGCTATCTCAGACACATCAACAGAAATGTCTGGGCAACTATTAGCAGCAACAGTTATAAGATAAAGAAAAAGGGAGCGCTATACTGGACATATGCTAACAAGAAATTAGCAGAGAATCACCAAACAGGCACTAACATTGGAGATAAAGGCACAGAGGAAGCAAGGCTGCCTAAAGAAAAACCTGGGATGAACACAGATGAGAGACCAAAGCTGCTTGATCTGGGTCCCATCCATGACACTGAACTTCTTCTTCACTTCCTCTTTTACCGCTGTGGGTGTCGAGAGAGATATAAGGTTCTGTTTCTAGCTCTTCTGGCTGCCTCGACCATAGGCACATCGTGCTGTTGTAGAGTTTCTCTGATGTTATCCTTCCATCTTGTTCTTGGTCTACCCCATGCTTGAATTGATTGCACAAAATAGAATAGAATGAAGGAACAGATTCTATGTGACAGATAGGCATAGCAGGACAATGGTGATTCAATAACATACTCAAGTAGTTTCCCTAGGAAAAATAAACAACCTCAGACCATGTTCATCAAAAGTTTTCTTTAAGTGAATGTGAGTTCACAGTTATGTAACTGACAGAAGGCTGAAAATAACGACTGTGTGGCCGAGATGGTGGCCTTGAAACAAGATAATTCATTCGGACATGTCTGGTTATAAAACAGGTTTCATTCTATTCTGATGCGGGCAGTGAATTGATTAAGAAATTGAGTTATAAAAAAGGATAAGCAGAAATTTTATACTATTCACATGTTAATAATACACAAGTAAACTTTGACTGTTATACTCTGGCTGCAGCCAAACAAATGTGATAGATGACGTCATAACTGCAAATGCATGAACTCTTTCATTATCACAAATAAGTTAAATTAGTTATAAGTCAATGTGCGATGCATTCCTTGGTGCCTGATAGAGTTATTTTAGTGTATCGCTGTTTAAACAAGCGTGGAAATTATGAGACATAATAATGTACTTCAAAGTTAATTTCTGGTTATCTTTAGGCTTACGTACGAATAAAAATATTTGTATGACACGCCTTGATTCAATTATTTTAACTGTTCATTTCTTACACCACAAAAGCTGTGGACAAGTAACAAGATAAATAAATAAATAACTAATCATCACTCAAAGAAGATGAGAAGTTACTATCAGAGCATACACAGACATCACAAGTCAAAAACCAGACCCCCAGGATGACGCAGAGTTTGCTTGGAAGGCAACATCTGACAGTCCTTCACTGACAGAGGACTGGGATGTAACAAAGCCAGAAAGAAAGTCAATGACACAGAAGTCTGGCGATCTCTCTGGCAAACCTTTACATCTCAGGGTAGAAGAGAATCAACTAAGAAAGTAAGCATACACTTTCCATAAAGATTTCATTGTATAAGCACACTGGAGTTTGTGTTCGGGAGCAGTGAAAAATGCCAGGGTGCTTAGATGGGCGCTGATGCTGCAGCCATACCACTTCACTGTCCACTATGTCCGAGGGGAGGAAAACGTGATCGCAGATTTCCTATCAAGGACAACTGTGTGACTAGGTTTTTCTGGTCTTGTTATTTTGAGGCATAGTAATGTACCTAACATGCTTAGGATTATGTGTGAAATATATTGTTCCTTTGTGGATGTAATGTAAATTATGAACTGCATATTGCCATGTGTTGAGCACGGCGGTCCTGTCTCGAGCAAACAGAAACAAATGGTGTCTGTTTGCTGGAGGAAGGGGGGAATAAGCTGTTGTGTGCAATATATGGGAAGGGAAGTTCATTGTTGAACGTGGGACTTGGTGCGGTGCGCACACATTGAACGTAATGTAGAGAGAGAGAGGGAGTGAGTAACGGTGGACTCTACTACGCTGTGTAGGAAGCCTGTTCTAATCTGGATGGATCCAGGCTGGTCCTGCATAACTGTGTTACGCTGGCGGTAGGGTACGGGCTGTCTGTGAGTGTTGTTACAGCGGTCGCGCCAGCGTGACAGACGCTCGTGTGGCCGCAGACGGAAGGTCTGGACAAGTTTCACAATGTACTGTGCATCGGCCTGTATGATTCTGCTATGACAGTGTACCCAAGGGATGGGTGTCATAGAGGTAGACACATAATCACGAGTAGTGAGTTGGCACGAGCAGGTAATGTTTGCTCGTAGTTGACCACGGAACAGGGTGGCAGTAGAAGTAGCCCAGAGCGTCCGTAGTGTGTGTTGCCTTGCCAGTAGGAATGACTGTGGCGGTGTAACGTTTTATTCTCGTGATGCCTTTCATTGTTTTGGTGTTGAAATTAGAAATACATTAATTCTGTTTGACGTTCAACATGTATCCGGCGTCCTTATTGCTGTTGGGCGGGAATGGTGACTTGTTACTGTAACACTATTTAACATACCATGGATACTTGGCAAGTGTGCGTTGTATCAAGCGAACATTCGCACACGTCAACCTGCAATGCAATTATGGCAGAGTAGTTAGTTCACTTCACGTTCAATCACAAGAAGGGATAGGGTTGCATTTTTTTAAACCTATGGGTGGATTCACAAAATTTGGAGTTTGTCTAGGGAGGACACCCGTCACCACATCCTATCTTGTTGCAGTCTTGAATATTGGTGACGACTATCATCACAGAACTCCAGACAGATCCATAGGTGCTCTCCTTATCAAGAGAGGCACGATCATGCCCATTCTGTATTGATTATACAGATGTCTTGTGCCCATAGTAAGATGCGCATGTCTAGTTGCGCAGCACTGCAGTCTTATTTCCACCAACCTGGACATAGCTACTGAATCCTGATTGCTGTGATCTTTGCAATATGCACATCACATAGCATGACAGCACTCCTGTCCAGTGCTGGGGCAGTAACTGCCTCACCCACCAGAAAATCTGCATGCTCACCGCCTCAAAAAGACGGGCGAGTTATTTGCATCCTTGAATATGTATGCTTACAAATTTGTGATCAAACTGTTCCTGATACCTACTTTAATTTAAGTCTTTGAAGGAAACAAAAAATAGTTTACACTCTAACCAACTAATTATGACATAAAAGACGTCTAAGGAAGGCTGGCTACCACATCCTATAGAAATATGACCACATAAACCAACTAACTATTGTTGACTGAAGGCTTTTGCTATACTGAGGAAATAACGAGCAAAATAACAAGAATCTATTTTTTGCCTATTTTCTATGAGTGCCATAAATATCTTGCATTTATTTCTCATGCTCATTCAACTTCAGTTCTTAAAACCTACAAAATGTTTTGCTTATCTTTTAGTTTCATGACCACACTCTTGTCAGCTTTAGATGAACCAAGTAAATGTTAATGACTTTCTACGAACAGACATAAGTCAAGGAGATGTGTTAATGTCCCGTAGGCTGCATCTTTTTCATTGTTGCTTCATCTTGCTGTGACAACGCTGTCAGTTTCTTGCCAATGCGATCGTGGACTTCCAGATATTTAGCGACACATCTGTCAATACAGACAGCTTCACCTTTGGACAGCTCTGGATCTTTGTACTTGGCAGGAATGCACTTTTTCTGGCAGGCTTGGGTCATTCTGGAAATACAGTACGCAGGTTTAAAGTTATAAGTTGTGGAGGAAAATGTAAAATTTCTATGCTGCTCTAAATCATTTTGTAATCAGCCAAGGGCTTTAACTCAAAGAGAAAAGGGTTAAAAGATGAGAGATGGGTTAGATGAAGAGACAGAAAAGGTAGGCAGTGGAGAAAGAAAACAGAGATACAAAAAAAAAAAAAAAGAATATTCTGCTATTACTGGAGTTTTTTTTTTTTATTTAACTGTGCTCCAATGTCAATCAAACCTAAAACTGAGCTAAGGAAATATTACAGGATGTACACATGGTTGCTATGATAGTAACCACATCACCCAAAATATAATATAGGTCTAGCACCATATGCCAAATACACCTGCATGTGTGGAAAAAAGTCCTTTACTTAGTTGACACTTATCAACATAGGTTCTCGTCTCAAACTCACCAAAAAGTGTCTATTACAGTAACGCTGACAAAGGATGACAAAAAATGGTACTGGTATGGGTACCAGAAAAAAAATCCCTGATCGTAGCACATGATGATGAAAAATATTCTTCTGTGGTTTTTACTCAACTGTGTATTCTTCTTCTTCGCGTTCACCAGCTGTACACTCTGGTGGAAAGTTCTGGTTGCTCGTCCACTACTGAACTGCAGTCCTGCTCCAGAACCTGAGTGTTGTGTGTGCATCAGTTTTACAGATCTCATTCTCTTGAATACAGACTGTTGGTTCCTTGCCTCTCCGGCAAATGCACTCCGACTTCAAAGGAAGCTCCCCAATTAGTCGACTCTTACGACATGCTTTTGGGGAAGCAGTGGGTTTATTCTTGTTTTCCCCACAATTGACTCTGCTGAGGCCTAATCAGGACTCTCTTTTCTGCAGTGTAACTGATTCTCCTCACAGATTCTCTAGCTGTTCTGCAGTTAGCCAAAAATCTATGACTAGTGTGCAATCTACTGTCTCAGGATAAGTTTTTAAATGAGTAGGAAATTATAGGGAAGAGAAAAAAAGGGGGTAAGAAAGAACAAATAGTTTATTTGTTAGCTTTACAAAACCGATCACAATGAACAAAGGACATTGAGGCAATTAGCCTTCATCAGCACATTAAAAAAAAACAAATACACAAATATGCACTAACTATGAAGTGACTACATAGGACTATAATGTACTAAATAGATTATACTCATCTGTGTCCCTGGCCAAAAACTTAATTCAAGAGGATGAACAGGACAGGTACTAACCTATTTTTTAAATTTAATTTATAGTGTCAAATTTGTGGTGTATACTTGTCGTGAAATATTCTGAATCTGCTGGGAGAGGAGAACAAACCATATTTATTTCGAGGTAGAGGGAAAGTGTTGTTTTTGACTAGCTATATTTCTACAAACAGATCACTAGCTTCTGTGCCAGACTGCAGATATAAAATTCATAAAGCCTATATCTTGGAGTTGGAGTGTGAACTACTACATCATAATTATATTTCTATTTCTATTCTGAACAATAAATAATTTGAGTACAAGATTCAGACCGAATCTTCTACTAGGTCAAGATTAACATAAAGACGGACACCCAAGATTTGTGCTGTTCAGTCCTCTAGCATTAACACATCTATGATCTACCAGGGGCGGGGGAAATAGAATATAGACCCCCCCCCCCCCCCCCAAACCAACTGATAGGCTCAGGAACCAACAATTTGCATATTTATAAGCCACCAGATCTGTAAAATAAAAATAGGTGTGCACATGCAAAACTCAAGCTCCGAAGCTTTATCCAAACAAGACTAACCGGCTCTCCTCCGAACTTCTACCCCCGCATTATGGCGGCCTGAAATATCCGTTCTGGGCTAAGTCTAATGAAAAATGCGGACTTTCTGCCAAGGAACAAATCGCAGCAAAACTAGGATTACTTGACCATTTCAAGAGACGCAACAGTGCAGACGATAGTAGCAGACTATAAAAGCGGCCGGTGACAATGTCGAGCGTTTCTGCAGACGATACTAGCAGACGATAAAAGGCGACCGTTGACAATTTCGAGACATTACAGACGATGAAAGCGATACGGTGGGTAGACCCCACAGATTAGCAATCCTGTTCTTCCGATTGAGGATTTAGCAGCGGTAGATGTCAGACTTGTCGGCATGCGCAAAACGCAATTAAATTCACCGCCGAGCGGCGCGGATGGGGAGCTAAACTTGGTGCCTGGGACTCACTAACAAAGTAATTGGAGAAAGTTGCAGGAGATGTGGTAGCTGCTGCTCGCGAGTCCCAGCCATCTAGTTTAGCCCCTATCCGCACCGCGCGTACCGGCGCGTGGGATACAGTCGGCAGTGAGGCATAGTCACAGAAACAGGTCCGCAAGTAACATATCGCTGAGACCCTGTTACTAACAGTGTTAGAGCATTTGTTTCGTTTTTCCGAGGCGATCCTAGATTTGCCGCGATTTGTTCGTCGGAAGAAAGTCCGACAATGGAAAGTTCAACGGTCGCTATTATAATCTGCTACTATCGTCTGCAGTGTTCGTCTCTTAGAATTGTCAGGTAATCAGAAACAATATCAATAAGAAACAGGTCCGCAAGTAACATATCGCTGAGACCCTTTTAGAGCATTTGTTTCTTTATAATACGGAACCGGCATATTTTTAAAGAATTGAGCCTCGAATGGATATTTCAGGCCGCCATAATGCGGTGGTAGAAGTTCGGAGGAGAGCCGACTAACCTACTGTAGAGAAGTAAGTGATCGACGCAATCACACACATGTGAAAACAGTGAGGAGTTGACCGTGGCGGAGTGGCTGCCTTTCGTAGAATCCCAACATTTTACTAATACTACTATTACTACATTTACATGATTTCGAAAAGGTAAAGAGTAAAGTCTTTACTAAAGACAGTAGAGACAGGACTGTTTCGACGTCGACTTCGAGCAGAGTGGCAAGCTTCACTTGCAAGGTCACAAGTAGTCGGCATTATAAAAGCAAACTCTTATTTTTTTTTTTCTTCTTCAGGCAATGCCGGGGGAGCGGGGAATGAATAGGCAGAAAGACGGACATACAATCAGACCACGACCGGCACCATTAGTAATTAGTATTGGAACTCGGCACTGGCGGCTGAGGAGGGCATGGGGACGAGACGAAGCGAAGCGCGAAAGTCAATTCTTGACTCAAGTGACTCAACGCAACTCAACTAAAATCTAAATTAAATGACCATCACCATACAGACTTCTTCACATACCTGTTATACATATCGACCATCATTTCCATTTCCAGCTCATTGACAAATTTCATCGCGGCATCGCTAAGTTCGGGTTGTGCCATGGTGATATAAAATATCTACTTGCTGTACACAACTTAGAAGTCCACAAGTTCTGTTGTGATCTTGAAGATTGCCGCAGACACATGTGCAGGAAGTCAATGGAGTGATCTCCCTTGATTATCATCAGCATCTGGTGCCGTGCCAGACACAAGGGCCTCCGTGTTTTCCCATGCGTCGGGAGTTCCTAGAGGCGGGCCGCCACGAAGTTATCAACGCATGTGGGGAGAAGCATGGGTAGAGCCGATATCACCAATAGTGTGAGGAAAGAGCTAGTGTATATTGAGAAATCTCTGACACTAACACAATTTCGTGACCTGAGATTGAAGAACATCTATGCTGCCTTCGAGGCCGAGTTAGGAGACATTAAACAACTCCTCACTTGACAATCAGCGGGTGTACTTGAAGTGATGCTGCATGGGAAGACTGAGCACGAATTGGAATGTCCAATGTGCGGTGACGTCGATTGTGATAATATAACAATACACCATCCTCTCTGCCTTACAAACCTTCTAGCTAATAATTGTGTTGGGGGATAGGGGTGGCAGGAGAAGTTCAACACCCGGGAGCCATAACCTGAGTCATCCTGCCCCCGCGAGAGCGTCTAGGAGATAAACGGGCTGAAATATTTGTCAACAGGGTACTCTCACTGAGGACTGGTAGGCTCTTACTGTTCATGGAGAAAACATATCAACAAGGCAGCAACCAAAGCCAGGAGGAAGACAGCCATACTAAGAAAAATAAGTGGAACCACATGGGGAGCCAGTGGGAAAATACTCAATAAAGTACACAAGCAGAGCATACTTCCACACTTGGTATATGGTCAACTGCATGGTGTTCAGCATCTAGTACCACAATAAAGGAGTTGGACAAAGTGCAAAAGCAAGAGCCATCACAGGAGGGATGAAATCAACCTTCATATTAAAAATGGAGAAAGCTGGGAAAACACAGGCACTGAGAGAACGCAGAGATACAAAGTTGCAAATACAAGCTGAAAAGTTCCTCAGTATGCCATATCACCCCATAAAAAATAGATTTCCCTAGCCTTGGGACGGTTAAAAAGAAGCAGCTTTATACATCAAGCAAAAAGAATATGTAAACAAACTGCTGACCTTCCAGAAATTGGTTGTCCACTTAACAGTATTCCAGAACAAACCCCATGGAGAGAGAAATGCAAACTAACAGTATAAATCCAGACAAATGTGAAAGGAGTATTTGACAAGAAAGAACAAGATAGTGTACAACGCAGAATGGCCACCCTCAGTTATATTGATGAAAAATACCCAAAAGAACAATGGGTCAGAGTCTATACAGATGGGTCCGCAGAAAGTGCAGTTAGAAATGGTGGTGCTGGAGTGTACATAGATAGCAGAGGTATCAAGATAGCAACAGAAAAACTGCTAAATACCAATCTTGGCTCCCAGTATGAGGTAATGCTGACAGATGCAAAATCGGTACTTGAAGCACTCCAGTCTAGGAAACTACCAGAATTGCAAACACTTCTGACACAACTTAGCCTTCAGCAAAGAGTTGTAATGCAGTGGATACTATCATATTGGGGAGTGCCGGGAAATGAGAAAACTGATCAACTGGCAGGAGAAGGTGCGACAAAGGTGTACCAGTCACATACCACCAAAAGAAAAGAATCATTAAATCAGTCAGGAAACCACCAGCCCCAGCACAAGACGACTATTTCATTTTGGACAGATCAGAACAAGTCATTATCTTCCGCCTCAGAACAGAGCACAACCGATTTCGTAACCACATGTACACAAAATTCAAGATAGGCGTATCAGCCATGTGCACCTGTGGAAAGGTGCCCCAGACAGCAAAGCATGTACTCCAGGACTGCACCGAATTTGACACATTACGGCAAACCTTTTGACCAGAAAGAACAACAGTGGAACGTAAACTCTATGGACCACTGAATGAATTAACAACAACAGTGAAATTTATACAAGAGACAAAACTGCTGATATAGACAACTTATTTTAGGCGAACGAAAGAAGAAGAAGATTGTTTATGCAGTTCTGCGTCTTCAAAGCAAGACAGGCCGAGAGGGATCCTAATGAATTGGCCTCACAATATTGCCCAGGCTTTGTGCTATAGAGACGGTTGTAGTATAATTCAAATGCTTCCTCATCGCACAAAATAACACTATTATCTGGAGACGAAAGAATGTTGAATTATGAATCGACATCCGTCGCTCCGTAACCATCTTCAGCGGCAAAGAGTTCCAAATCCGATGGCGCCAGTAACTGTCTGAATTTATATCCGTCTCGCCTATCCCCTGAGTGTCAATCGTCGGCCAGATCCCCGTGTAACTCCTCGCAGTGCTATTATCCTCAGACCGTAATGATCTATATGTACCTCGGCACTGTTCACTCGCTCCCAAAGGGTCCTCACAAAATCCAGTTTGTCATACATCAGTTCACCACTAAGTGGTGCATAACCGGCAAGTCTATCTACCTGCTTATTTCCCAAAAACACAGGCATTCCTGGAGAAAATATCCTAAGGATGCTATCTACCGGGGACCTTTGAAGTGATGCTTGCCACTCTGCCAGCGGAAGGCAGCAGTGACTGCCTCCACCTACATTCTCAAACTACTAGACGTTTTGATATTATATGCCAGGCTTTATTGCACCAAACGTTATCACAGCACTCCGTCCCCATCTTCAGCAGCCAGTGAAGAGTTCTGATACTAATGGTGCCAGTAGCTTTATGATTAAACGTCCGTCTTGCCTTTCATCTGAGCCTCGAACATCTGCCAGAACCTCTCGTCACTCCTCACTGCATCAATCTCACCAGACTGTGGTGATCCATCTTCTCCTCAATTGTTCACGACCTTCCACAAGGCACTACCCACGTCTGCCTTATCATGCATCAGTATTCCACCAAGTTGTGCAAAGCCAGCTGTCCGCCTGTTTATTTTCCAACACACCGGCGGGCCCAGGAGAGAAAAATCCAGACAATACTCTTCATCCGTGTCCTCCGCAGTGAAGCATGCCACTCAGCACGAAGCATGCCTGTCCTGTCCGCCATCAGCACTCTTTCTGATTCAGTTACAATCACGAACCATCTGTATAGATAATCAAATTCCCTGGGGGAAATTTTCATGAATCATTTGTTGAACTTCTGAGACGAAAGTTGCCAGCAGTATGAATGCTATTTATACAATTTAAACTTAGACGTGTGTATGTGTGTGTCTTTGTTATGAAAACATGGCCAAATAAGACACCTTTTTTTTTTTTTGGGGTGCCTAGTTGACCAAGTTCTTAGTGTACAAGTTGTATCCATAGCGAGGAGCACACGGCGTCTGGAGTGACATGTTCAATTCCCGTCACGGTAACTATAGCTTTCGATTTTTATGTTGTCTAGTGTGTTCTTCTATCTATCAATGAGTGCCAATCAATATATTTTCTGTTACTTTATTATGATAAAATATTTAACGGCCTCAAGGGTTCCCCGTCTGTTTATTTTCTGGAAAGAGAGATAGACAATAAGAGCAAGCAGTGAAAAGTATCAGCGCAGATATATCCAAACTACTATAGTAACGTTACAGAAAACTAGCCAATGAGAAGAGTCGTGACAGTTATAAACAATCTCTCGTCTGCTGGTGAGGACAGCCAATGGCCGGGAGTTCATGTCGGAATTCTTCTCCTCTGTCTACATGTTTTCGATAGTGACTTCACTTGATCTTTTAACGGTCACTTGTTTTGCTGATTGTTCATATATAAACCTAGGTAAGTTTTAGGTACCTGATACGTGTTGAGAAATATTGATGGGGACAGGGTTGTTTATAATCCAATTTATTTCGAAACTGAGAAGAGCTCAGTTTAATTTTATTAGGTCGTTGTTTGTGTTTGTTTACTATTTATAGACATTACTTTCACTTTCTCCCTTCGCTCAGTGAATCATTGTACCAAGAATTTTTTGCGGGTGGATACCTACACTGCTACTAGTGCTGCTCTATCAGGAAGGTCTCCTATTTGTGTAGATACTTTATAATTTTAAGCGTCTTTACTTATAAACGATATAATGCAGATTTGCAAAATTAAATTAGTATAAGTCTAAATTAATTTAGTAAATACGATTTTATTGCAAAAAATACACAGCCAACTGTTACTGTTAGTACTATGGGCGATGGTTATGGTCACATACTGAGGGTTTGTTGCTAGTCCGCCCACAGAGTTATGTTTGCGTAATTGGTTATCTGTTGTATCATCTTATTAAAAACGTCTTGTTAATTGGGTTTCGCTAGTATTTTGTTTGGATGTTGTAAATTATATGATTACCATAACCCATTACCCCCTTGCTACCAAGTTGACACAGCAACAGGAAAAGGAAAGTAAGTAGGTCAGTAGGTCTGAGCTAAATTCAAAAGGCCTGAATTGATCGATAAACCTGCTTTTGATGCTGATGAACTAAGCTTGTGTTGTGTGTGTACTGACAACACTAGCATAGCTAATAAATTATTATGTTATTAATATTTTATAATTGTATTAGGTATGGTGTATCATTACAGTTTTACTATTATTTTATAATTTCATTAGTAAACAGTAGTGCAGTTAATATTATATTATAGAAACAGCTGTTTGTGAATAACAGTAGTTGTTTTATGAATAACAGTTGTTTCGGGAATAACAGTTGTTTTATGAATAACAGTTGTTTTACAATTCTTTAGTAAAGGATATGAATTATTTTCTCATATTTAGCTGACTAAATATAGTATAAATACTTTGGCAGTTACAGTAAGTTGTAAGGTGTCTACTAAAATGTTTCTGGTCGCTTTTAGCAGATATGTGCATGCTGTTTACTAATATTGAAATATTCCACGTCTCTGTCAAATATAAACTGTTCAGAAATATAAAGAAGAGAGAAACACAGAGATCTGATGGTGCTTTGTTATAAATATTAGTTGACAGAAAAATCCCCATATTTTTTGTTATTGTGTACATGATAACCAAAAAGATTTTTTTTTAAAATCAAAATCTTTAGATTTCATTTAAGAAGCAGACAGCAGCAGACACATTGGACACATGGCAGATGAAACTCAGTTGTGCTCAAATTGGTTAGTAGAGATGTCTAGTTTTTCTTTCTGATTTGGTGTAAAAGGTGAGAGAGAGAGAGAGAGGGGGGGGGGGGGGTCCAATGTGTTGTTGTGGCTTGGAGATTTAGTAGCTACTTCTTAAACAAAAAGTGCCAGGTTTGTTTCTTTCCAATTAAAGAACAAATGACAAAACAACCTCAGTGATGTCTTTCTTGATCACTGACTCTCTGTATCTCTGTGTGTGTGTTTTTTTTCTTTCTCTTTTCTCTCTCTCTATCTTTGTGTTTCTATCTCTCTGTTTCTCTCTCTGTTTCTCTCTCTTTCTCTCTCTCTCTCTCTCTCTCTCTCTCTTTTTGTGTTTCTCTCTGTGTCTCTCGCTTTCTCTCTCTACTTTGTTTTGCTGATCTTTCTCAGTGCCTTTTTCTGTTTCTTCCTCTTACTTTCTCTATCTGTTTATGTATGTGTTTGTGTGTGTATGTCTGTGTATGTGTGAGTGTGTGTATGTAAAAAAAAAAAAAATTTATCTCCTACCCACACACTTACAATGGGTAGCTGATCAGATATCTAATTTTCCTGTGTGGGTTCCGGAGCCCTATTATAGGGAAAACAAAGAAAAAGACCCAATGCCTACCCAAAAGCATGTTGTAAGAGTCAACTAACTGGGAGCTTCCTTCAAAGAAGAAAATATCTAATCATTTGCCAATTAAAGTAAGTAAAGGACCCTTTCTGTGCCTTGCAGCTTAATTTGCATATTGTGCTTGCACTGTATTTGGATACACCATTTGGTACTCAGAGAATGATTTGATGAATATTTAACAGCTGTATTTACTTAGTCACTCCTCTTCTGCCTTGGGTGTGGAGGTTTGCCAGAGAGATTGCCAGACGTCTTTATCAGCAGTTTTCTTTCTGGCTCTGTTCCATTCCAGCCCTCTGTCAGTTAGGGACTGTTGGATGTTGTTTTCCCAGCGCACTCTGGGTCGTCCTGGAGGTCTGGTTCCCTGGTTCTTAGCCTCCCATGCCTGCCATGGTGGCCGGTTTTCTCCCATTCTGCATACATGTCCAGACCATCGTAACTGGGACTGATCCACTTGGGTTTGTAAGGACTGGGTATCAAGATCTTGATGCATTATCGGATTGCAGACTTTGTTCCTTCTACAACTGTGTTTACTTCCCATAACATTTTTCTGTTATCCTTTTTTATACCAGGTTTTCCACTCTGGGTTCTGATCACCCTTTTAGAGGTAAAAGAATCAACACGTTGTTCCTCTAGCCATGTCACAAAAGATGGCTAATTATGAGTGCTTTCTTTAGTGAATCTGCCTCAGAGGCAAGGAACCAACAGTCTGCATGTTAATTAGTCAGATCTGAAAAACAGATGTGCATACAAAACTCAAGTTCTAGAACAAGACTTAAGTCCAGAGGTGGATGAACAACCAGGACTTTGTCTCCTGGGGTTTACAGCCGGCGAACATGTAGAAGAAGCATACATCGGGTTGACTACATGAGGAGTTACATGTGATTGCCCGGTTGATGGTTAAGCCTACTGGCCACTGTGTTACTGCTTCTTCCGTTCATCTTCAGACCTCTATTTATATCCTTGTGTGCTTGTAGTAATTTTTTTTAACTATTTGTAATTTTCTGTTCTAAAGCAAACGGGATGTCTCTACAACAAATTTTGTCATGCATGAGATGCACTGTCGACGACATATTGTCCTGTGTGAGCACTGTGGGGAACCTGTCCATCGCGCTGAGCTGGAGCAACATTTCAGTGACCTTCATGCACAGGTCCCATGTGAGAAGTGCCAGAAACTGTTGTCCAAGTCGGATATGGACAAGCATTTGGTAGGAAAAACATGAGTGGATGATTATGTAATGTGCACCTTTTTCTGCCTTTAAGTTTTCAATTGAGAGTTAACCTCGGACAGCTCAAAACAAGCTCTTTGTAAACTTTTTTTTTCTGTGGCTTCATTTTGGAGAACAAAGAATAGACCTACTGATTCCCTAACAGACATATCCTGGTTGAGGAAGGGGGGGTGTGTTGCCAATTAGGGGTATTTTTTTTTTCAAAGTAAGAGTGCATCTGCCTGAGAGGAAATGAGCCAACGGTTTGCATACAAATAAGCCAGATCTGTGAAATGGATGCGCATGCAAAATTACAGTTCTTGATCGAGACCAAATTCCAGGAATGGATGAAAAACCATAACTTTTTGCAGGAGTTTACAGCCACTGAATGTTAAGAAGAGGAAGAAGAAGTAAATTTGTATTTTTGAATGCATGTTGCAGTTAAAGTTTTCTACAACCTGAGGTAACCAGTCTCAGTTCAACAATTCTAGTCACCTTTTGTGACATGTCTGAAAGGTCACACTGTTATGATTCTTGACAAGCAGCTGGCCAAACATTTAAGAATTCTGGGCTGTCATTCGGTAGACCCAGTTTGGAATCCTCAGTAAGGTTATGGATTGTTTTTGTCAGGGGAAAAAAAGTAGTCTTAACCTGCACAGTTTGGGGGGGGGGATAGCACCACTAGCCATTCACCCCCCAGTATTCAGACTCAACAACCAACCCACCAAGATCGCAAAAGTGGCGAATAAAGGCAGTGATGCAAGGTTTTTTTAAATAAAGAGAAAATTTGTTTTGAGCAGTTTTGATTCTTAGACTTTTATCTCTAGAAAATTCAAACCTCTCTGGTACCTAAATAATAATACAAGTAGTAGATCTGATGTATATATTTGTCCTTTGTTGCCTTTGTTGTGTGTGTATCTGTATACAGGTATTTAGTGTTGTCTCTGTCTGTGTGTTAATTACTTTGGTTGACTCTTTTCTATGTGCCATCTGTGTTTATCTGTTAGTTTATATTTATGTATGCTTTTCTCTATATACCTATGTGTGTGTGCATACATCTGTTTATCTGTAATTATCTGTGCTGCAGGCATGAAATACTTGTGTGTTTGTGTATATCTGTGTGTGTTTGTTCCCTGTGGTGTCAATGATGCTTTAACTTCCATTGTTTCCTGCACAGAAAGAAGACTGTTCCAAAAAGCTCATGGGATGTGAATATTGTGAGTTGTCGTTGCACAAGAATGAGATGGAAGCACACTTGGACTACTGTGGCAGCCGCACCGAGTGTTGCCCGCTGTGCCAGCAGTACATCATGCAGAAGGACAAGCTGCGGCATGAGAGCTCTGGCTGCACATACCCAGAGCCCAAATCCCAGCCTGCAGATCCATACAGGCTAGAAGAGCTGGAGCAGATGATGAGTAAGTTCTAGGACTTATCATCGCATCATCATGTGCCCTGCCAGGCAGCATAGGTGCTATGTCTCTCCACATCCCCTATGTGTTGGTTCCAGGGCCACATTGTGGGGAAAAGAAGAATAGACCCACTGCTTATCCAATAGCGTGTCATATTAAAGTTGACTAATTGGGAGCTTCCTTTGAAGTCGAGAGCATTGGCCTGAGAGGCAAGGAACCAACAGCCTTTTAAATGGGAGAATGAAGACGGAGCCTTAAATGACACTGGGTGCTAATCTGTAAAATGTAGGTCCAGCCCTGTGTGCCTAAAAGGCATGAGAAAGTGTCTTTTACTGTATGCTTAACACACCTGAAGGTACTGAAATGAAACCTTTACTTGAATCATACTTTTGTGTGTGTGTGTGTGTTTTCCAGTGTCACATGCTGTTAATTCTGTCACATTAAAATCTGTACACTCAATGTTTATATTTCAGGAAGTTTATTTGTTTAAAAGAAGGATGGATAAAGTGAGAACATCCAGGAGAAACCCTAACATGAAAATTGATGAGGGAGGCCAAAGCTGCTGGACTCTATTCCATCCATGATATCCAAGTGATTGCACAGGATATAAAAATAAAGGAATAGATTGCAAGTCCTGTGTGACATATTAATGCATAACAGGACAATGAGTGAATGCAGTTTGTTTATTTAAATTAATGAGCAAGCTGATAAGGTTAGCTGTTGCTAATCCTCTGGGTGTGGGGCTACTTTATGATAAAGTGGACATTTTGAAGGCTCCATGGGATCACATAGTGCAGCAGAATATAAAGAGCAACCATATCTGGAAAGAATGATTTATCTCAGAGTGATTGGGGGGTGGGGGGGGGGGGGGGGGGTGGGGAGGGGGGAGGGGCTTTTCATTTCTAGCCTAGCAAAGGGAAAAGCAGGCTAACTTTGAATGAGGTTACATCTGGCACCATCAGTATGGGAGCTCTTTATTAGTCGTTGAGAAGGTGAGAAGGGGGACGGAGCATGTATGGGAATGTCCAGAATGCGCTGATATCAATTATTGATTTATTCAGACTTGTTAAAATATCTGCAGCTAATGCAGTACTGGGAAATCACAATTTCACTGGAGCCTACTTTAGACAGGGTAAAATTCCTACCAACAAAAGGACAGAATTAAATGCACAGAGGGCCAAAAGTAAGACTTTTAAGGTTATTTCTATACTGTCTTCTTCGTTTTCTTCATGCTCACCGGTTGTAAACTCTGGCTGAAAGTTCTGGTGGTTCATCCACTTCTGGACCGTTGTCCTGCTTCAGAACATGTTTTTCATGCACATCTGTTTTACAGATCTGGTTTATTTATATACAGACTGTTGGTCCCTGCCTCTCAGGCAGATGCACTGTGACATCAAAGTAAACCCCTAATTAGTTAACTCTTACGACATGCCTGTTAGGGAGGCAGTGAATCTATTATTCCCCCTCTCCCCACAATGGAGCCCAGGAACTCACACAGGAATTTCTGTGCTGTGAATACATTTGCTAAATTTGTAAAGAATGGTTATGTGTTGATTTCCATGACAGTAATATTAGGAGAAGGTTCAAGTTATCATGTGACATACCCTCACTAGTTTGGCCAGTCAGCCAAGGCTTTTTCTCTGGAGATAAGAACCCAGATTAGGACACATGGAACCATAAATGAGATGTGTAAAGAGACGAGAATGCAGGTTGGGACACATGGAAACATAAATGAGCTGCATAAAGAGATAAGAACCCAGAATGAGACTTGTGAAACCAAAACTGATCTGCAAGGTCCGACAATTAAGTAATGAGACTGATTCCATAAAAATTAAAATAATCAACAGTTGAAGATATAACCTGTATCTGATTCAAAGTAAGCCCCATGTGCATTGATACAGCAAGTGACACGATCCAACAAACTCTGGAACGATGTCTGTAGTTCTTCTACTGTTATGGACCTTCAAGTCGATGTTACTGCCCTTTGGATATCATCAATATCGTTAAAGAAGCGCCCTTTCAATCGTAACTCTAATTTTGGGAATAGAAAATAATGACAGGGAGACAATCTGGGGATTCGGGTGGAAGGCTGAGAATGCACACTTGTTTTTCTGCCAAAGATTATTGTTTGATTAATGTCTCTTGGGTACTCAACCCACTGATGTTTTTGTCATCAGACAACGAATGTGGTACAAACCAGCAAGCAACTTTTTTCTTGCCAATATCTTGCAATAAAATGTTATGAATGGTCTCTCTATTAAAACCAGATTCATCTGCAATCATCCTCACAGTAAAACAATGATCTTCTTGTATCCGTTCTCTGACTTTTGCAATGAGTTTATCATTACGAACAGAAATTTGATGTCCATGTCTAGGTGCATTAGTAATAATTTCCACACCACTTTTAAATCCCGAATACCACTTGAAAATGTGTGCACGAGATAAACAATTATCCCCATAAACTTGTTGCATAAATTCAGATGTTTCAGTGGCGCTTTTTCTGATTTTTGAAAAGAATTTAGTTTTAGCTATTTGCTCCCTAATGATTACATAACAATGCACCTCTGACTAGGTCAACAAAATGGTGGCTTATTTGTTGTCTGCTTATCGAGCGGCTATGAAAAGTTGCCAGATCATAGATGAATGTTGCCTCTTTAGATTTCATGCTTTGCTTCATAGATGACATTTTTGTCTTGGCCATAATAAAATCAGTCTCATAACTTAATTGTCGGACCTTGTATATAAAGAGACATGAACCCAGGATAGGACACACAGAACCATAAATGAACTGTGTAAAGAGACAAGAACCCAGAATGGTACACATGGAACCATATAAATGCTGCATAAAGAGACAAGAACCCAGAATGGGACCTGAAACCATAAATGAGCTGCATAAAGAAATAAGAACCCAGATTGGGACACATGGAACCATAAAGGAGCTGCATAAAGAGACAGGCACCCTGAATGGGACACATGGAACCATTTAATGAGCTACATAAAGAGACAAGAACCCTGAATGGGACACATGGAACCATGAGTTTCATAAAGAGATTAGTACCCAGAAGCTCAGACCTTCCCAGCGGATGTCGCCATTACCCTTAACTATCCCTCTCTGCATACACAAGACCTATAATGATCATTAATTATAATAGACCATTCATTAATAAGTTGGCACCTTTCCATCTTTCCAGGCATGTTACATAGTGCTAATGTGACTAGCAACACCGGGAGGCGATAAGAAAAGTCTTTCACAATTAGAGCATGGGATTTCGGGAGCCTTGTTGCCATCATTTATAATATAATTTCTTTCTTTATTCTCATTAACCTCCAATTATAATATAATTTCTGTCTTTATTCTCATTCCCTTTTTGATTAACTTCCATATATAATGTAATTTCTTTCTTTATTCTCATTCCCTTTTTGATCAACCTCCTCCACGCAACACAGTCTGTGGCATTTGGCTCCTACGAATCCACCTCAGTACCTGTATATCTTTCATGTCCCATTTTTACAGATCTTTAAATCGCTCCATAGCAAAAAACCTGGGCAGTATTGTAGAGACAATATGTTGCCCATAACCATCTTGTGACTAATTTAGGATTCACTGAAATCAGAAGAGTTTGGCCAAAAACACAGGTATCACAGCCCAGCTATAAACTACAACATGCCAATAATTTTTTTTTTTGGGGGGGGGGGGGGGGAGGAAAAATGTGTTAGTCATTTGCTGGTGTCAGTTCATAATATGAATGCTTGGGTAAATATTTTGTGATAATTTGGCCAGTCTAAGAATTGTACTCACCAGGAATTTTCTCACTAACGTGTATTGCAACACGACTAGGGTGTCACATGTGCAGGGTTAATATGTATGTATGGATTGTACTGTAGAGACCATGTGTTGCTATCCTTTCCTCATCCTGCCTTGTTTACTCCAAAGAAAAGATAACACTAGTACTTTAGAATATTGCAGAAGCTGCTACATTAGAAGATAGTGCTCTGTCATGTCTTTATATATATATATATATATATATATATATATATATATATATATATATATATATATATATATTATATATATATATAAAACTGCTTTCAGATGTATTGATCCCAGAGATTCCAAATGAAAGTTTCAATCCTGTCTCATCTGATGTGGATTACGACACAATGCTGGCATTGCAGTTGGCTCATGAAGATTGGTTGTTGGTAAGATGAAGTCATTCATTTTATTAGCTTTAACATGTTTCATTGGCTCTTTGATTTCATTGTTGTGTGAGCTCATTCATATTATTAGCATTTAACGTGTTTCATTGGCTCTTTGATTTCATTGTTGTGTGAGCTCATTCATATTATTATCATTTAACATGTTTCATTGGCTCTTTGATTTCATTGTTGTGTGAGCTCATTCATATTATTATCATTTAACATGTTTCATTGGCTCTTTGATTTCATTGTTGTGTGAGCTCATTCATATTATTATCATTTAACATGTTTCATTGGCTCTTTGATTTCATTGTTGTGTGAGCTCATTCATATATTATCATTTAACATGTTTTCATTGGCTCTTTGATTTCATTGTTGTGTGAGCTCATTCATATTATTATCATTTAACATGTTTCATTGGCTCTTTGATTTCATTGTTGTGTGAGCTCATTCATATTATTATCATTTAACATGTTTCATTGGCTCTTTTGATTTCATTGTTTGTGTGAGCTCATTATATTATTAGCATTTAACATGTTTCATTGGCTCTTTGATTTCATTGTTGTGTGAGCTCATTCATATTATTAGCATTTAACATGTTTCATTGGCTCTTTGATTTCATTGTTGTGTGAGCTCATTCATATTATTAGCATTTAACATGTTTCATTGGCTCTTTGATTTCATTGTTGTGTGAGCTCATTCATATTATTAGCATTTAACATGTTTCATTGGCTCTTTGATTTCATTGTTGTGTGAGCTCATTCATATTATTAGCATTTACCATGTTTCATTGGCTCTTTGATTTCATTGTTGTGTGAGCTCATTCATATTATTAGCATTTAACATGTTTCATTGGCTCTTTGATTTCATTGTTGTGTGAGCTCATTCATATTATTAGCATTTAACATGTTTCATTGGCTCTTTGATTTCATTGTTGTGTGAGCCTCATTCATATTATTAGCATTTAACATGTTTCATTGGCTCTTTGATTTCATTGTTGTGTGAGCTCATTCATATTATTAGCATTTAACATGTTTCATTGGCTCTTTGATTTCATTGTTGTGTGAGCTCATTCATATTATTAGCATTTAACATGTTTCATTGACTCTTTGATTTCATTGTTGTGTGAGCGAATTCATTTTATTAGCATTTAACACGTTTAATTGACTCTTTGATTTCAGTGTTGTGTGATCATTGACTCTTTGATTTCAGTGTTGTGTGATCATTGACTCTTTGATTTCAGTGTTGTGTGATCATTGACTCTTTGATTTCAGTGTTGTGTGATCATTGACTCTTTGATTTCAGTGTTGTGTGAGCTCATTCATTTTATTGTTTTATGAACTCAAGTCATTTCAGTGTTGTGTGAGCTTATTCATTTTATTGTTTAATGAACTAAAGTCATTTCAGTGTTGTGTGAGCTTATTCATTTTATTGTTTTATGAACTCGTCTTTTCAGTGTCTCATGAAATGAAGCCATTTGAACATCAGAATTGTTGTTAAAATGTGGGTGTTTTACAGAGTTATCATTTCCTTGTGCTAAAAAATCAGTGAAGTGTGCAAGACTGCTAAAGACTAAGCTTTTAAAAGAAAGATGTGTGGCATTAACGGCTGGCAGTTTCATTGTTATACCAGGTACTGTGGGCATACAAGAAAATGATGAGGAGGTAAGGCCACTGGAGAGGGTTGGGTGAGCCACGGATTAGGCTGCTGTACTAAATGCACTGTGAGAAGTCGGATGTTTGCTAGAACCAAGTGATGACTGTGAAACTGCAGCCATGGTGAGACTACAAGTATAGCAAGTTAAACGGGGTGTGGTAAAGCAAGAGAAGACATAACAATGAAAAAGAAAGACGATGACAAGATTTACAGTTTAACTCTATCAGACTGCTGTGCCACTTTTCTGGTAATTTGCAATCTGCCGTTAATTCGCTGAACCTAATTTTGGGTACTTTGTGTACTACATGAAAAAAAATACATCACAAGCTAAAAATAACCAACCAGTCGTGGTCACACCTCATGGTTAGTCATTGCAGATGGCTGCCTCTGTGTGTTTGGATTGACTTTGTGTGGTTTCACATGTACAAATTCAGAAAATTGACAGTGAAGTGGTTGATGAACCATGCACTTCAACAGGAAAGCAAAGTAGCTCTAAACTTTTCACAGTCCAACAGGTGATCGATACTTTGGTTGATTTTGTCTTTGAGGAGTCAGAATTTCACCAAGAATATGTTTCCAGTTCAAGTGACACAGACTGTGAGAGCTTGATTGATGAGGAGAATCTGGAACCTTATAGATCTAGAGCTAGATCGATAGTAAGAGAAGGGGGGGGGGGGGGTGTCACTCAAACAGCTGATGGGGGAGGATTAGGTGGTGATGAAGGTGGGACAAGAATTGTGTATCACCAAATAGAAGATCTGAATTTCAAGGATGAAAGGTAAACCTATTTTCTACAATGTCTCCACATTTCATCTTACTTTAACCACTTGTTTGCATGTAACTAATATTTGCATATATCATGTTGGTTTTTTCACGTTAATGCCCATGAGCTCAGGTATAGGGGACAGTTAGATTCAGGGCCTCAGGTCTGGTAGAGTTAATTACACAAACAATGCTTGTCTGCTTGCTTCTAATAGATATTTTGTTTCCTTATTTGTAACTGGTGGTGCTTTTCTGTTTGTTTCTGTGTAGGATGGAGGTATTGAAACACATGGTCACGAAGTAGGTGGTCTGCCAAGTTACTCAGAGGAAGGCCATTATGGATTTGACAAGTTTGGGGGCATACTTGATGATGGTGGTCAACTGTGGTCAGATTTATTGCCGCTCAACAAATCTGAAACTTCAGACAGGAATTCAAGAGTCGCTGCAGAGAATGGTAAGTGTCAGGAGGTTGAAGGGACTGAATGTTTTTTATCTTCTTCTTCTGCTGCTTCTTCTTCACGCTCATAAGTTGTAAACTCCGGCAGAAAGTTCTGGTTGTTCGCCCACTTCTGGACCTAAGTCTTTTTCCAGAACCTTAATGTTGAGTGCACATCTGTTTTACACATCTGACTTATATGTATGCATTCTGTTGGTTCTTTGCCTCTCAGGCAGATGCACTCTGACATTGCTATGGTAGTGTTTACAAAATGAATGTTTACGTGTGGATATTTTGCAAGGAGTCTTCCTGGCAAAGTGATTTAAACTATTTCTCTCTTTTTCTGAAGGATATGGGTGTAGTTTCATCAGACTGTTGTGTGACTCATCGGTGCACATGTTGAAGAGGCCGGGTGGGTAGGGGGGTTCATCAGCAGAGCTACAGAGTCTGTGCTTTGTTTAATGCACTTGGCAGGCAACCAGCTACACTGCACAAAAGAGACCAAAGCCAATGGGATAAAACTCAGTGCAATAAGGCTAATCTTCTATTTTTTTTTTTTAAGTTTGTTTAACAGTGTCAGTCAGTATGAATATGGAAATAAAATGTAAGACTTAAGTGGCGTTTGCGTGAGACTTTAACTTTTTATTATTTGAAATATTTTTTTGTTAAATGTGTTAAAGTTAAGGTCGAGAGGATTGACTTTGTTGCATCAGATTTTAATCCTATACAACTAGGTCTCTTTTCCCAGAACAGTCAGCTGCCTGCCGAGAGCATTTATTGCACAAAGCATGAACTCTGCAGCGATGACATGACGGCCTGTACCTCATACTCTTTAATAGTTATACTGAAGGACAAGCATGTTGTAGCTTAAACCTGCAAGAAGATAAACAAATCTGTCACCCAAGCCACCTGAGAAGTGCTAGACAGATACAGAAAACTACGACTCTGGCCTACAACCTGGTATCAGTAAGACAACAGAAGAAGAAGATACTGAAAGACATAATTTATAAATGTAGTCGCAAAAACATATTTTTTTTTTTTAAAGTCGAGGTGTTAATTATTATTATTATTGTTTTTTAATTATTGTGATAAATCCCTTAAATTTGTTCCACAGACCACTAAATGGAAAAGAAGCATAAAAACATAGTGTAGCATGACTATCATCATCAGAGACCACATCTGCCATTAAGCCTCATGGGGAGGAATAATTTCTTATCCAACGATGGCTGGCACTAGCCGTTGTAATGACACGAAGGTGTATAGTGTCTTTGATGTTGCCTATCCATTTTTAATGGCCATCCTCTTGCTCTTGTAGTTGATCATCTGGGATGTAGTGCTTGTGATGATATTTGATTTAGTCTTGCTGCATTATAACGATATGGCCAAACAACTTAATCTGCTGTTTCTTGATGAATCTGGTACAAAGTGTTGCTCCAACAATCTATTTGATAATATCATTCTTTAATCGTTCTTTGATGGTTAGGTTAGCGGCTTTTCTCCAGCATCTCATGTCGCAAGTGATTGTTTTGTGTATATATTTGGCACTGGTACTTACATATTATGAATATTCAGTTTATAATCTGGTTTGTTTGTTGTTTTTGTTTGCACTCATAGTTATGTTTGGCTGTTTTGATAAGGGTAACTGTATTGTCACTGTCACTACTGTCTGTATTTATTTATCACTGTTTAGGGCAGTGGGGGAGGGGGGGGGACTGATTAGCCTGAGGTTATAGAACCACATGGCTAGTGTCGTTGTCACAGACTGCGGAGGTTACGATAAGTCATTTTGCCCCAGACACACACACAAAAAACATCCCCCAGGTCTCTAGCATGAGAGCCCAACGTTGTAACTGACCGCCGCTCTGTAACAATTGATATATAAAAGGCTATATTTTCTGATATTTTTTCTGATGCCAGTTTCCATTGTTGTAATTTCTTCCTATCTGCTGTAGATGAGGACATGAGTATACCCTGTGAGTTCTGTGAGGCTGTAGTTCCATTGAGTGTCTACATAGTACACATGGTATGTACACATGAAGTCTATATATATATATGTACAAGAATTGATGTGTACACATTTAGTATTGTTGACACAGTAAAGTAAAAGACTCTGTTCTACGGCTTCAGGCCTATTGGGCATTTGGTGCTAGACCTATATTTTGTAAACCAGTTGGTGGGTGATGCGGTCACTATCACGCCAGCTACCTTTACTTCCCAGAACTTGAGCTGCCCCCATTTAGAACTGGGTTGACCTGGGAGCGAAGATCAGTTTTGAAGAAAAAAAAATCTGGTTCCAATTTGAAACCAGGGCCTTCTGATCTGCAGGCGAGCATCTAGCCACTACACCACGGCAGCTCTCTGTTGACTAAGTACATATTGTTATGAGTGCACGAGCACCTTTGTTAGGTGCTTTATGTTGCCACCCTGATTGTGTGCATTCTACATATGACAGGTGCAGTGTTTTACATGTATTTTCAAATAATACACTATATATATATATATTAGGGTTGTACCAATTAGTGATTTTCACTATTTGTCCGATTACGAATAGTGGGACCAACTATTCGGCCGAATAAAAATAGGAATAATGTATCATCATCATCATCAGGTGCCTTGCCGACTGGCATGGGCGATTATGTCTCGCCACAGTCTGCGATCTCCTGCAGCATGTATTAGTTCATGTGCTGACACACCTCCATATCATGCAACAAGACTGTCAAGAATCTTCTCTCTTTGTCTTCCTCTATCTCTCCCTCCACAGATCTTTCCAGTGGTCACCAAATGTTCCATTTTCCCTCTTCTCATAATATGGCTGAAATATGATGACTGTCTCCTTCTGATGTCTGTAATTAGTTGTCTTCGGGCTCCCATCTCTTCCAAAACCTCTTGGTTGCTTTTTTTTTGGCTGTCCAAGGTATTTTAACTCAAGGAACGCATCATAGGTTCATAGATTCCTTCCTAGAAGCCCAATTAACGCCAGATGCGCCGATTTTCCGTCTTTCTTGACTACTCCTTGGGCCTGTGATGCTAAACCCCCTGGGACTCAAAGAGTTAAGCACTTTTCTGTAAAACCACATCTCCGAGGCCTCAATAAATTGTTTTGTAAGGTAACTACTATTCGCATTCAGCCCGACTGCAAGTATTCGGCCCCGAAGCGAATACGAAGCGAATATACGGTAAACCCCTAATATATATATATATATATACACAAGGTCCGACAATTAGTGTAGATTAAAAAGCTTAAATGTAAATTTTTAAAATGTTAAATGTAAAATGGTTTTTTTTTTTCAACATAACATGGTTTTCAATATTTTCAGGAATGCTGCCCCGCAGCACTGCAAAGAAATGCCACAGATCTAAACAATGAGCAAGTCTCTGTGCCACAGATCTCAAGCAGATCTACAATCCCAGTTATAAATAACTTACGACCCTCAGAATACCTTCCAGAGTGTGTATACTTGTGTCATCTAAGTTTTTGTTTATGCATTGTTATTTACTCTCTCTTACTTTATATTGTTATTTACCCTCTCTTACTTTATAGTTATTTTGTTCCACTTTTGTGTGTGTGCTAAATGTTATTAGTAAAAGATGCGGACTCTTTCCCTGCCATTGGTCCATCAGGCATTTAGTGCTACACCTCTTGTTTAAAAAAAAAATCATTGGACAATCGATGACCTGGGGGGGGGGGGGGGGGAACCATATGTTCTCCTTTTCACTAGGACAGTCCCTTTATTTTTGGCATGTCCTGTCGGTACTAAGATTTTTTTTAAAAAAAGAAAGAAAAAAAATGCCATCTGTCCTGTTTTATAAAAATCAACAATAAGCTTGAAAACAGAACAGTTACAGTTACATCTGTAGACCTTTTTAGATGTCATACATAGTCTTAGATGCTTCAAGTGTATTAAATGTGTCAGCGGCTAATGGAAAAACATGAGGTCAGAATTGCTATTTTAAAAGCCATTTGTTCACAAGGAAATCCACAAGCTATGTCATCTAACTAGAGATACAAGTTTTAATATTAACTCATTATGGCGTATACAATGTATACGCTTAAATATTCGCATGTTCTTCAAATGTACTAGTTCCTCAATAATATTGTAGAGATTGGAGGCGAGGGAAGAGGTTGGAGGAGTACTGATGCTTGACCCAGGGAAGGAAGCACTAGATAACAAATCTCCCAGCCACTACCCTTCCCAGAAGTCAAAACACTTGTAAAGAGGAAGTCAGAAACAGATTAAAGAGCAAACACCGGATATTACCATGAGAAAAGATGTTCACAAACATCTGATAAGAATAGACCAAGTCACCATCTTTCGCAAATCCTTTGGACATTGCATACTTAACAAAAATACATAAAAATTATGTAGCAGCTCTCTGCCAGTGTCTTTATGCTGAACAGACACAAGAACACATCTTACAATACTGTTTTCTCTTCTGGAGGCATTGTGAAACATGTGGTAACACTCAGTAGACCTCAGAACTAAGCTTTTGAGAAATCTACGAGACCTTGAGCTGACATCACAATTTGTGGCCCATAGTGGATGAGGCACTTGGCCGGAGATTACTGAAGAAGATATGTTGGCTGAGCATCGTAGTTTAAACCAGTGTTCTTCAACTTATGGGCCCTGTAAAAGACCAGGTAGAACCCAGAAATGTCTGCCTTATCATATAACGGGGTAGAATAGGTAGTTTGTCTTTTGTAGGAGTGCAGCGTGTAGTATTACCACCTCAGAGAGAAGAATGAAACATATAGTCCTGGACACTCCTTTGAACCGCATAAAACAATAATACTAGGGCACTCGACGGTTACGTAGCCTATAGTCTTTCACATTCACATGCAATGCCTAAGAAGAATACTTGGCATTAAGTGGCAAGACAAAATCACAAACACTGAGGTACTGGAAAGAGCAGGTACTACAACTGTCTTTTCCATGCTCAGTCTACGAAGGCTCAGGTGGCTGAGTCACACCTGGAGAATGGAGGATGGCAGAGTCCCTAATTACATCCTTAATGGTGAATTAAAGACAGGAACAAGATTTCGAGGCCAACCTCTACTACGATATAAAGATGTGTACAAGCGAGACATGAATGATACAGGTATTGGGGTGGACAAAATGCCATGGACAGTGTTGTGTGGAAAGGGCATATCAGGAAGGGAATTAGACTGAAGGAAGAAATGATTGCAGAAAGGTTGGGAGCTGAGTGTCTGAAACGAAATGGATTAAACACAAATGTTGACAACAGTGGTCCTGAAATCCCATGCTATCATTGTGGAAGACTTTTTTAACATGGGCGGGTCTTGCTAGTCACACTCGTCATCGCCATGGGCTGTGAGTCTCATGCCTCCTCATAGTGCAGTATAACACTATCGTCTAAAAAGACGGAAAGGTGCCAGTGAATGAATGAAGCTGTCAGGTGGGCCGCCAACAATCCCCTCTGTTTCGGTGGCCTGCGGATGTAAAAGGGTTGAGAAACACTGGTTTAAACCAAATAAATAATACATGGTATTCACACTTTGTCAGGTACCAGCAGCTTTTTGATGTTGATGGGGAAGTTGAGGATTTCATGTTACCTTGTGAATTCTGTCAGGAATCATTTCCATCAGATGTGATTATACAACATCAGGTCAGTCGATGTGGCAGGCTTTTGTTTGTTTCTTCAACCTTTTTGTAATCACATTGTTTGATGAATACACCATTAGGTCCCTTTGTGGGTTCTGGAGCCCCATTGTAGGGGGGGGGGGGGGAAGGGGGATAGTATTTGTTGTGGTAGCAGTAGTAGAAAAATCATCACCAACAGCAGTATTGATAGCGTTAATATTGAACTGGGTAGTGGTAAAAGGTTTATATGGGGAGGGGGGGGGGGGGGGGGCAATAGTAGAAACATCAACAATAGTAGTATTTATAGCATTAATATTGAAAGGGGTGGTAGCAGCAGGTTTATATTGTTGTGGGGGCCAATAGTAGAAACATCATCAACAGTAGTAGTAGTTGTAGCACTAATGCTGAAAGAGATGGTAATAGCAGGTTCATAATGTTATGGGGGCTAGAGTAGAAACATAATCAACAATAGTAGCAGTCGTTATAGCATTAATATTGAAAGGGGTGGTAACAGCAGGCTAATGAAAGTAGATCTCTATATACAACAATAAGAAAGAAGAGATCATCGTGACAAGTGGAAAGAGGGGTAGAGACAGACCAAGAGAGATGATGCTGGATGGGCTAAAACGATGGCATGGAGGGATATCATCAAGAGAGCTGTTCCAGGCAACCAGGGATCATGACCTGTAGAGATGCATTAGCGCCTACGCCGGTTGGCAGGGCACATGATGCTGATGATGATAACAGCAGCTTTATTTTGTTGTGGGAGGCTATAGCAACAGCAGTGATAGTAGTAATAGTTGTGTAATAGCAGCAGCAACCTAGAATATTGATATCTTTCTTGTATCTTTTCTGCCTCTTCATGTCCTTTTTTCTTCCTTCTGTGTTTGCCCTTAACATTGCAGTTGGCGCAGTGTGTTATGATTTACAGCTGGGCTGCAATAATTGCGCCTTTCAGCCCAACACATCCAATTTTAGCAAACCCTTAATAAGTTGCTTTTTACAACACGCTTGTTAGGGAGGCAGTTGATCTATCCCCCCCCCCCCCCCGCCCCCCACACAAGATGGAGTTCCCAAACCCACATGGTCTTTAATTGTTTTCTGTGATGTCTTTCTAGAGTGTCTGTCAAGCAGACAGAGCAGTCACCTCAAGGGAAACGTCTCCAATGAGAAATCACAGACAAATCAAACCGCAGCAGTCGTCTAACCAAACATCTTTCAACCCGACCAGCAGATCACCTCCAAGACGGAAAGTTCCTGCAGCAAGCAGTTTCCCGGGCAAGGAAGATAGTGGTGACTTTGTCAACTGGGATTCCACCAATGTCAGAACTCACAGTGTCACAGAGTCCAGCAGTAACAAATATAGCCCAGCATACAACAGGCAAGATGTCCCGTAGTGTACTGGTTACTTCTAATTATTTATGTGTCCAACAGTTGTGTTATACATTGGAACTCCAATATTCGTCATTAATCCATTCCAGGAACGATGATTTTAGGAAGAGAATCAGAACAGAACCAATACTGACTTTATAGGTAGACAACAAATCAAGTGGTTTGGCCATGTAACAAGATTGGTAGCAGACAATGCACCACAGAGAGCAATGTTATACAGATACAGTGGTAGCAGACCCAGAGGTCAACTACGCAGAAGATGGACCACAGAAATATCAGAGATACTGAAAATGAAAAGTACTTTATACGAAGCGAACAGAAATGCCCGTTGCAGAGATCTCTTCCTCCCCTGACGTTGCGAGGCATTCCAGGAGAAGAGAAAAGAAGAATCCATTCCTGGTGGGAGGACGCATATTAAAGACCGTGAATATTAAAATGAGATTACCTGTAGGAATTAATAACTTTAAAATGGTTTCTTCTGTTCCCAATGTCATGGAATTCAATATGGCCGGTAGCCGGTATAGGCGTGAGCTGGTGAAATACCTTATGTAATAATTCTACATTTGTACAAACAACTTATCATGCTTGACTACTTCCATCAACGACAAACTGTATTTCTGGTGGTGACTATTGGCTTTGAAGCCTCTAGCAACTAAAATATGAATTTACTGTGTGCGCATATTTCTGGATTGTTGCCGGACTAATATTCACCAGTTTTTCAAATGAAACAGTGAAGGACATTTGATTTGATTTGCACCAGCACAGGATGGAAGCAAGCATATGGAAACCTGACTGCAGTAAAGTTGAAAACTTGACTATGACTAACGATGACAAAATTTCACTCGAAAATTAATCTGGAAATTTATTGCACATACATTTTAATTACATATTAACCACTGTACTTATTATTACTTTATAAATGTGACAGAGATTTACTCACCCTGATAATGTCAATATACTGTAGGTGCACATAAATATTTGAATAAAATTTTGAAATAAATGTACCTTTTGGATGGAAAAAAAACCCCCAGTAGCTGTTATTTTTGGAAGGCGAGTAATTGATGTTCTGGTAATTGATGTTTTAGTGATTGATGTTCTGGTGATTGATGTTTTGGTGATTGATGTTCTGGTGATTGATGTTCTGGTGATTGATGTTCTGGTGATTGATGTTCTGGTGATTGATGTTCTGGTGATTGATGTTCTGGTGATTGATGTTTTGGTGATTGATGTTCTGGTGATTGATGTTCTGGTGATTGATGTTCTGGTGATTGATGTTCTGGTGATTGATGTTCTGGTGATTGATGTTCTGGTGATTGATGTTCTGATGATTGATGTTCTGGTGATTGATGTTCTGGTGATTGATGTTCAGGTGATTGATGTTCTAGTGATTCATCAGCATATCCAGACAGTTTACCAGCACTTGTTTCTGGAACAGGACTAGAGTCCAGAAGTGGACAAACAACCAGAACTTTTTGCTGGAGTTTACAGCCAGTGAACACGAAGAAGAAGAAATCAATTGATGCGATTTTTTTAAAAACTATATTGATGTTTGGGCGCCATTTCTGTATAAAAACCTGTATTTATGCTCAAGGTGACAGCCATTTCTTAATTTCAGTACTTGGGACCAACCCAATATCATCCTCCTTCCCCCCCCCCCCCCCCCCCCCCCCCCCCCCCCCCCCCCCCCCCCCCCCCCCCCCCCCCCCCCCCCCCCACATCTGATGACTTGCTGACCAGTTCGGACAAAGGACAAATATTTCTGGCGGAATGTCAAACACAGTTTTCAATTAAAAACAGGACGAACTTAAAAAAAAAAATACAAAAATTGGCTGGGACGAATATTGGAGTTTTACTGTACTTCTTTTTGTGTTCCATGTCACAACTTTTGGTATATAGTAAGTCAAAGCTGCTTTCAGGTCTTGGGTGTATCAGGCATTTGGTAAAAGTCGTCATCATAAAACACTGCTGCCATTAAGCGTCATGGGGAGGAATAATTTATGATCCAGCGCATGCTGGCTGGCACTGGCTATTGTCATGCCATGAAGGCGTAAAGTGTCTTTAATGTTGTCAATCCATATACTTAATGTTGTAGCTGATCTTCTGAGATAAAGTGCCTGCAATGGTATATGATCATGCTGCACTCTAACAAGATGGCAGAACCACACTGGCTGTTAACTCTGGCGGAAAGTTCTGGTTGTTCGCCCATTCCTGGACTTTGGTCTTGTTCTAGAGCTTGTGTCTTGTGCGCACATCAGTTTTACAAAGGCTTATTTTTAAGTAGACTGTTGGTTCCTTGCTTCTCGGGCAGATACCCTTGACTTCAAAGGAACACTGCTAAATAGTTGACCTACGACCTGCTTGTTACGGAGTATCGGGTCTATTCTGCAATCCCCCCTCCCCCTTTCCCCTTTCCTTACAATGGGTTCCTGGAAACCACGTGGGGAATACTCTGATGATTTTGATTCTGTACAGTTGACACAAATATTATGTAGTAGGAAAACTTACTTTCCTTCCTACAAGTTTGATATTAATTGGTACTAATACTGTGTCCAGATTTGATAAGGCTATCACTCGCCCACCACGACGACCATCAAGGCAGCCAGTGAGTGAGCCCACTACTGACAACTTAGAGGCAAAGAGAGAAAGCAGAAGTGTACAGCGGGCACGTGAAAGTTTGAACCAACTTCTGCAGGTAAAGAAACTCTTGGCTGTATTATTTGTTAGTTGATACTGTGTAGTAATAAATGCTGTCTTCGTCCTTGTAGCTCCCAATGGAGCATGGGGCCATAGTCTGCAGCAATTATGTTGAATTTTAAAGGGTTTTATTTTCTGAGCTCATTCAGTACATAACATGTTAAGAAGGAAGTGCGCAGCTTGCCTTGTCTTTACATAAAGTTCCAAACAGGAATCACTAATCTACTCTACTCCAGTTGTTACTTTATCCTCTCTGTCCTAACTTTTTTTTTTTAAATATATATATATATATATATATATATATATATATAATTCTGAAGACTCAGATGTTTACTGTTGTAAACTTCAGTTCTTTAGGTTAGAAAAAGTGGATTTAACGGTTCTCTTCTGTTTATCGACCACATCAGGTGAGATTTAGGAACATTATGGGGGGTGTGTGTTAGGATGCAGGTGAGTGTTAAATCAATGGTATTACTACTAACCCCCCCCCCCCAATATGGTATTTCCATAAATCTCGCCTGATATGGTCGCAGAAAAAAAAAAAATAACTTTGTGGGGTTAAAAGAGGCCAGATGTAAGTCTGAGTATAAAGAACAGTGGCAGTTAGCGATAGCACTGGACAACAACATGAGGATAATACTTGTTATCTGTAGATCTGTAGTCCTAGTTATTCCCCCTTCCAGAATGTCTAAGTGCAGTCAGATCAAAACTGTGTCCCTCATTTCTTCTTCTTCTTTTGTTCACATGAAATAAGTTGTCTGTATCTGCAATACTGTCTCTAGTATGAACTTCACTGTCTTTTGTAATTCACTAAGTGGCCCGTAAAGTTTGGCTTCCACAGGTGTCTCTCTTGGCCAGAAGTTTTGTCTGGAAGCGTTGAATCTGTGACAGTCTTGGGAGATGTGATCTGTTGTCTCAGGTGCCAGTCCACAGGTACGCATGGCTGATTCGCCAATCTAAAATTTTGTGTACATGTGGCAGCAAATTCGATTGTGCCTTGTTCTGAGGCGGAGGATATTGACTTGCTTTGGTCTGCCCATAATATGGTAATCGTCTTGTGCCAGTTTCAGTGGCTTTCTTTGATATTTTCTTCATCTGTTGATAAGAGACTAGTATGTCAGGTTGTTCTTCAGTTTCATCTTCCTTAGCTAATTTATCATTTATTATATTTCATTTCTGGGAACTTCACAGTGGGATGGTATCCACTGCATAACTATTTTACAACTGTTGCCTAGTTCGGATATAGTGTCCGTATACTTTGTAATTTTCCAGACTGGAGTGCCTGAAGTACCGCTTTTGCATCTGTCAGGAATACCACTGGTTGTGAAATATACCTGGTATTTAGTAGTTTCTCTGCCGCTGTCTTGAATTTCTTCACCGTGGTTGTGACAGTGCTTTCCTGTTGGTGTTTTGGCTGTATCAATGAAATTATTGGGATGCTCAATGTACACTCCTGCACCTCCATTTCTGATTTTATTTTCTGCTGGCCCATCTGTGTAACCACGGACCCAAAGATTCTGCGGGTATTCATCATCAAGTAGACTGAGAGTAACTGTTTCACACTGCACACTGTTTTGTTCTTCCTTGTCAAATACTCCTTCACTTCTGTCTTGATGTGTATTGGAAACTTATAATCCTCTCTCCAGGGGTCCGTTCTGTAACAGCATTTAAGGGGCAATCAGTTGCAGGCAGATCAGTGGTTTGTCTGCAGAGCTGTTTTGCCTGGTGGATTAAACTACTTCTCTTTAGTCGTCCCAAAGCTAGATTTTGAAATCTTCCATTCATAGGGTGACTAGGCATGCTAAGAAACTTTTCTGCTTGTACAAGCAAGCATCTTGGTGTCTCTGCGTTCAATCAGTGCTGAGGTTATCTCCATTTTCTCCATCACATCTATAGGTGTTGATTTAATACGGCCTATGGTAACTTTCAGTGCTTGATTTTGCACTTTTTGTCTAATTATTTTAGTGTGGTTTTTGATACTGAACTCCATGCCGTTGATCAAGGTGTGGTCGAACACTTTGTTGGTAAACTTTCCTATGTATTTTCCCTCTATCACCCCATGTGGTTGCACTTAGTTTTCTCAGGATGGCTCCCTCCTTCTGGCTTTGGTTGCTGCCTTGTTGATGTGTTTTCTCCATGTTAATCTATCATCAAACGTAACTTCGAGGTATGCTGGCTTCTTATCCTCTCTATTTATGTGCATAATGCTTGACTTTTATTTTGGAGAGAGGGTGGTGCTGCAATTGCCTCTGTTGATGCTGACACCATTTATCAGCCATTGCATCTATAGATCTTTGTAGTAATCTGGTGGCCATTGTTGCATGTTTAATTGTACACCAGAGTACCAAGTCATCAGCATACATTGCAGCTTTAATTCCATGGGGTAGTTCAGAAAGCAGGTCATTGAAATAGACTAGAAAGAGTTTGTGGGACAGGGCACCTCCTTGTGGGACGCCATGGCGCAGCAAAATTCATTGATTTCAACACCATCTGTAAGTCAGACCACTTCTTTCAGCAGCAGTGTTTCCAAGGACAATTCATAACGTTTTTCTTTCTAATGATGCCCAAAGTTAGTCACTTGATTTCATTGTGAATATTTTATAAAGATTCTTCTTTGTATAGGAAGACACAAGTGCTGAAACTGTAGACCAAGGAGCTGCGAGACGGAAGCCTGCAGCTTTAGGGGCCTACGACACTAACAGAGCAGGTGAAGCATTTATTAGTTTATTGCAGTTACAAATATGCTCGGCTATTTTCTTGTGATTGTGTAATTACCTCACGACAGGCCAAACAGTAGCAGTATTGCAGCTTCAAGGTAGAAGAAGAAATCATTTGGTTCTCAGGAAAAAAATAATAAAAGGTCTCTGTCATCCTTGCGATACATTGGGTATATCCCATATTTCTGTATACTAAACAGTACTCAGGGGCTGCAGTGGTCAGTAGTATACTAGTTGCCTCTCAGGGAAGCTGTCGTGATGTAGAGGCTAGACACTTGGCCTGTGGATCCAAAGGTCATGGGTTCAAATTTGCATGGTGCTGGATTTTTGTGATCTTGGCTCCCAGGTTGACCCAACCTCAAATAAGTACAAGGCAAACGTCCTGGGAAGTAAAGGTGACTGGCATGATGTTGAGTCCAGCTTCATATACCAGAGACACCACTGGCATGTAACGGGACATTTGCTTTACTTTACTTCCCAGACCACCCCCTGGTATTCATTTTACATTGATTGAGCCCAGGAGTCCAAATACATTTTTAAATAATCCCTGCTTCAGTAAAATAAGTTTTAGATAATCTCTGCCTCAGTAAAGTAAAGTTTTTAGATAATCTCTGCCTCAGTAAATTAAGTTTTTAGATAATCTCTGCTGCAGTAAAGTTTTTAGATAATCTCTGCCGCAGTAAAGTTGAGTTTTTAGATAATCTCTGCCTCAGTAAATTAAGTTTTTAGATAATCCTTGCCACTGACTGTGCAGGTTAGGATTTCATTTTTGTCCCAGACGGAAAATACTCTACAGCCTTATCAAGGATTCACACCCGGGTCCCCACATGATAGCCCATTGTTCATAACTATTGACCAGCTGCTGCTTATTTTGTTCTCTCCCTAAACTCAAATTGTGTCACACTATTCTACTTCTGTTTTGCAAAATCACCAGGTTAATGAATATTTGTAGTTTAGCAATAGTTGTTGTAGTAATTCTGTATGTAACCCTGTGATGTCTATATTTTATGAATTTTGCGGTGTGATTTTTAACTTGAAACAGATCCCAAAGAACGAAGAACTAGAATTGATAGTCGGACTGTGATAAAGCGGCTGGAAGAGAGTCGACAGAAACCAACCCAAGCAAGGTGTGTATAGAGTCAGACACTGAAAGGTTGAACGCTATAAATCCCCCATGTGTTTTCCTGGTCCCCATTATGGGGAAAACATGAATAGACCCATTGCCTCCTCAACAAAAATGTTGTAAGAGTTGACTAATCGGAAGCTTCCTTCGAAGTCAGAGTGCATCTGCCCGAAAGACAAGGAACAGCCGGCTGCATATAAATAAGCCAGTAAAACGGATGTAAATGCAAAACTCAACCGTGGCACAAAGCCATAGTCCAAATGGATGAACAACCAGGACTTTCCGCCTGAGCTTACAGCCGGTGAACAAAGAAGAAGAGGAAGAACGCTAGAAGTCAAGAAAATTTAACACATCTAAGAGAGTTTCTTTTCACATTATCATGAAAAGTAGAAAGGTACAAAAATGCATACAAAATACTCATGGGGTGAGTGTATGTGCACATTCATGGACAGGAGAGAAAACAAGAATTAGATAGTTATTTAGTTCTCCATTGTGAGAAGACGTTATTTAGTAAGCTAGTTATTGAATTTATCCCTGTTTGGGTTACAGGGCCTCTTTGGGGGGGGGGGGGGGGATAGACCCTCAGCTCTAACAAGCATGTTGTAAAAGGCAACAAATAGGGATGTTTCCTTCAAAGTCCTCCTGCAACTGCCTAGGAACCAGCAGTCTGCATACAAATAAGCCAGATGTGTAAAATGGATGTGCATGCAAATCACGTTCTGGAATAAGATCACAATTCAGAAGTTGACAAACAACCTGAACTTTTTGCTGGAGTTTACAGCTGGTGAACGCAAAGAAGAGGAGGTTATTGAGTGAATTAAGGAGTGAACATGCCCTCTTTGAGCCTGTCCTTAAATTCCTCAGCTCAAGCAAGACCCCCTTGTCACAGAACGTATTCAGCCCCGGCCGAGGTGACCAGCCAGCACTGACACAACAAACCAGACAACGAATGGACCATGTGTTTAGTCCAGAACTGAGGCTAAAGCCTAGTAACAGCTCTCCCCCCAAGGTCAGAAGTCCGCTCATTTTTTCACTTCTCCATGTTTACCTGCTGTCAAGTCTTGTGGAAAATAGTGATTGTCTGTCCACTTTGGACTTTTCTGAATGTACTTAGAAGGTCTGACAATTAAGTAATGAGACTGATTCCATAAAAATTAAAATTATTAACAGTTAAAGATATAACCTGTATCTGATTCAAAGTAAGCCCCTTGTGCATTGATACAGCAAGTGGCACGATCTAACAAACACTGGAACGACTTCTGTAGTTCTTCTGTTTTTATGGCCCTTAAAGTCGATGTTACGGTCCTTTGGATGTCATCAATATCGTCCTTTCAATCGTAACTATAATTTTAAGAATAGAAAATAATCATAGGGAGACAAACCTGGGGAATAGGGTGGAAGGTTGAGAACACACACTTGTTTTGGAGCCAAAAATTCTTGTTTTGATGATGTCTCTTGGATACTCAACCCGCTGATGATTTTGGTCATCAGACAACGAATGTGGTACAAACCTGCAAGCAACTTTTTTCTTGCCAAAATCCTGCACTAAAATGTTATGAATGGTCTCTCCATTAACACCAGATTCATTTGCCATCATCCTCACAGTAAAACGATAATCTTCTTGTGTCCATTCTCTGACTTTTTCGAGTTTATCATTACGAACAGAAATTTGATGTCCAGGTCTAGGTGCATTAGTAATCATTTCCACACTACTTTTAAATCGTGAATACCACCTGAAAATTTGTGCTTGAGATAAACAATTATCCTCATAAACTTGTTGCAACATTTCAACTGTTTCAGTGGCGCTTTTTCTGAGTTTAAAAAAGAATTTAATGTTAGCTTTTTGCTCTGTGATGATTATTTATCATTGCACCTCTGACTAGGTCAACAAAATGGCAGATTGTTTGTTGTCTGCTTATCGAGCGGCAATAAAAAGTTGCCAGATCATAGATGAATGTTGCCTCTTTAGATTCCATGCTTTGCTTCATAGAAGGCATTTTTGTCATGGCCATAATAAAATCAGTCTCATTACTTAATTGTGGGACCTTGTATTGATCTCTCTGTGTACTTTTTTGTGTGGATGTACTTATTTATCTCTATGTTTACTTGTTTGTAAATGTACTTATTTATCTTTATGTGTACTTGTTTGTAAATGTACTTATTTATCTTTATGTGTACTTGTTTGTGAATGTACTTATTTAACTCTATGTGTACTTGTTTGTAAATGTACTTATTTATCTTTATGTGTACTTGTTTGTGAATGTACTTATTTAACTCTATGTGTACTTGTTTATGAATGTACTTATTTATCTCTCTGTTTACTTGTTTATCTATGTGTTTATTTATCTAGAAGTGTCAGTGCAACCACTTGTCCATTGTTGGTTGTTTATTGTTAAAGATCATCCTCAGTGCAGATCAGACATGACCATAAATGTGCTCTGATCTCCCCCTGAGTATGTCTCCAAGTGTTTTTTGTTTTTTAGACTAACAACTCCCATTCTTGTATCATCAGTTTTGAGACAAAGAAGAGGTATCATCCAGTATAGAAGGCAGGTATATTGGGCACATACTGAGAACTCACCAGAGTCACCTTTCAGGCATTGAAATGGATAAAGAAAATCAAGAACATCCAGGAGAAGCCATCAGACGAATGAGAGAGGCCAAAGTGCTGGATTTGATTCCTTCTGTGATATCAGATTGATTGCACAGAAAAGAACTGAGTAGTAGACTAGACTGCAAGCCCTATGTGACATTTAACGGTACAGCAGGAGGAGGAGGAGGAGGATAGTTTATTCATCTCTATGTAAATATGAATCTGTGTATGTTTCAGAAACGATGAGCTTCCTGTTACAACCTCGGCCGGCTGCTGTTGTCCTGTGATATCTAACATATAATGACAGTGTACCTGCTGTTTTATAGATCTTTCTATGTGGGATATTTTTCTGATTATGTTTTGTATGCCAGTACATAACTGTGTAAGTCTACATATATAGGGTGGGCTGTATTGATGGGACACATTTATATTTACATTACTGCGAGCAATATCTGACGCACAAGTTTTAGATATAGCTTAATAGGATGTGTAAGAATGGGGGTTACTGGTACATGTTTCTTTCATTGCCCACTACCATCAATGAACTGAAAGATAATATCCGAAGGATGACAGTGGCCACCCCAGCCAAAACCCTGCACAAAACTATGCTGAGCATGACTGTTAGTGCCAAAGAATGTTCTTGTCAAGGTGGTGTCCATCTCAGGGATGTAATATGCACATTATTCTTGGATGCACTAGAGACACCTCCTGTAAATCCACGTGATACCTCTTGGATTTCCTCACAATGGAAAACAGAATCAAGCTATCCAGGGCTGTTGCTTTTCTCAAAGTGAAATTAGACCATCAACACAGACTTTATGAGGAATTATTCAAGAAAAAAAATAGTAAGACTCAAACGAGGCAAATCCTGGATGGGTCGGGCTGAGGATGCCATCGAACATGTTTGCCACCTTACTGACATTAATTTTGGAACTGAATGGATAATTATGTCTCCCTCTCCAAACATTAATATTACAGTCCATATCACACTTGATGGAACCTGTAGAGAGCAGATTCCTGGCATTGTTGACACTTTTGCCATAATACTGATTGACGAAAACACAGATGAAGGTGATGCTATAGTTTACACAGATGGGTCAGTAATTAGGGGCAAGCAAAGTGCATGGGCCTTCACAGTAAGCTGAAGAGGGAAAACCATCAAGGAGATGAATGGTGACTTTGCTGTTACAACTAGTAGCCTTACAATGGTAACTATGGTTGTAACAAAGGCTTTAGCATGGCTTGGTACTCAAAGGTTTATACACATATTCTTTCTTAGTGACTCGATAAATAGGCTTAAAAAAATCTAAGCTGGATTTATCAGGCAAGAATGGATTGAAACACTAAGCACTTCACAAATATCTGCCCTCACCTTTATCTTTGTGCCAGGTGATGCGGGTGTTCAGGGGAACGAGCGTGCAGACTGTCTTGCTGACACTGCAGTTGCTATGGCTGGCCCAGTACTGGACAGAAGTGATGTTAGCAATGCCATGCGCTGCACTTACCGTACCGAGGAGCACGCCAAAGGATATGACTCCGTATCTCTGTCTAGACTGATGGACATGGGGGTGCAGCCTGGAGCTGCAAGAAATGAGCATTTCACTAGGGGGACAAGACGTTTCATTAACCAACACAGAACAAGTGTCATCAGTTGTTTTACACTTGTGGAGCTTTTGAGGAGGAGATTGGAGCACCTATGCATCTGTCCGGAGTGCTGTGATTATAATCCTTCCTAATCACTAATCAGGGATGTAATCTTCAAACCTTGAATACGGTGCAAAACTCCTGTTCTTTGACAGTGTTTAGCAGTTGCTTCCTGCATGCTTCACAAATGCATTTGAAATTTGCCCTATCAATATGGCCCACCCTGTATATGTAAATACACAAATCTTTGTTAACACATATCACATTTTGAATTTTCATAAAAATCTCAATTTAAAAAAAAAATTAAATTTAGCATGCTAGTTAATGTTTTGTTCTCCAGAAGGACCGTTTTCTTTGTTTTCAATTTTCAGTCTGTGATCAACTGTAACTTTCTATTTTCCTGAGGTTGTATGTTTGCATTCTATTTTTGTCTTTTTGAGAACTGCAGTAGTTGAATCACTAGCATTCTTGTCGTAACTGTAACAGACTCTGAGAGCATGCTGAGAAAAGTAAAGACAGGGATGATTCAAGTAGAGTGGCAAGCTTCACTGGAAAGGTTACATGTAGTGAGCATACTTTGGATCTTTTCTCCATGGTATGCCGGTGGGGTGGGTAATGAACAGGCAGACAGGTTGGCTGGATCTGAACCACTGGGTGGTGAATTGATACATGACAAGGTAGATGTGGTCAAGACCCTTTGGGAACAAGCAACGGAAACAGTAGAGAAACAAGATTATGATGGCCTGGAGAGAATCAGGCACCTGGGTGTAACCAGAGGGTCTGACCGGCTCACTACACTCAGAGGAAAGGTAAGACGGACAAATAACCAGATTGTGACCCATACCATCAGTATAGAAACTCTGCGCTGGCTGCCGAAGATAAGGACGGAGTATACATGGGAATGCTCCGAGTGCTGTGATGTCAATTCTTGACTAATCTCAACTCAACTCAGCTCTGCTCTTGTCTGTCAAACCATTGGTCATAGGTTCGAATCCTAATTGAGTCAGTGAAGAAAAAGATTTCGTTTATGCCAGCAGCCTATCACGCATATGCCAGATTTATCGAATTTGTCTATGTGTAAGAAGTCCAAGTGTATAAGAAGACCTCTTGTTTTTTAAAGCCCGAAATGAAGAAATAAATATTTTAATCACTTTCGTTGTATTAGACAACCCACCCAGTTTTAAGCTTAACTATTCTGGGAAAATGTTTCTTATACACCAAAAAATATGGTATTTTGTTATAGAGTAGTGCAGTTTGGTGGGTGATGTGATCTAAACATGCCGGCCACCTTTACTTCCTATGACATTACCAGATGCCCATCTTAGACTAGGTCAGCATAGGAGCCAGTGTCAGTTTTGAAGAATGTGAATGTGCAATCAAACCCAAGACTAGAACGAATGAACTTCATTTTCAAAGGGTCACATCTTACATTCAGCCTTTCCAACCACTCGTCTCTCACACAGCAATTGTATTTTATATGCAAAGCATGTTATGTTCATATAACAATACACGTAATATGAATATCAAATAGAATACACAAAGGTATGGGTGGTAAATGAATACATACATACACACATTCACATACACTCACTTGGACATACACCTGGGCATACACACACACATATACATACATACTAATTTATGTGTGTTTCTCTTGTTGCGAAATCCATTTCCTCTTAAAATTATATTTTGTTGTTGTGGGGGAGGGGTCTTGCCATATACTTAAGCGGGACATTGGATCTTGCAATATACTCTAGGGGGAGGTCATGGAGGTCTTGCAATATGCTCTAGGGGGAGGTCATGGAGGTCTTGCAATATGCTCTAGGGAGAGGTCATGGAGGTCTTGCAATATACTCTAGGGGGAGGTCATGGAGGTCTTGCAATATACTCTAGGGGGAGGTCATGGAGGTCTTGCAATATACTCTAGGGGGAGGTCATGGAGGTCTTGCAATATGCTCTAGGGGGAGGTCATGGAGGTCTTGCAATATACTCTAGGGGGAGGTCATGGAGGTCTTGCAATATGCTCTAGGGGGAGGTCATGGAGGTCTTGCAATATACTCTAGGGGGAGGTCATGGAGGTCTTGCAATATGCTCTAGGGGCATTTGGGGTCTTGCAGTATACTTTAGGAGTGCGTGGGTGCTGTTGCAATATACTCAGGCTGGGGAGTGTGGGGGTCTTGCCGTATACTCCAAGGGGGTGTGGGTGTCTTGCCGTATACTCAAAGGGGACTTGAGTGTCTTGCCATATACTTAAAGGAGACTTGTTTTACTGTAATACATGAAAAAGAACTAGAATGTCTTTTTATTGGAAGCCACGGGGCAACAGAAATGGAGAGAAACACATATTGAACCTTATTAACAGGCTGTACAAGGGACAGTTTTGCAGGACTTATTCTGCAGTTTGTGTGCAGCACCCACATGGGTACAGTTTAAAATGGGAAAGTCATGGATAATTTTTCCGGACGTTTGGACCTGGCTTGAGACAGTTAAAGAAAGACTTATTCTCCACCGGAAATACAAGGAGGAAGAAGAAGTACAGAGTCTAGCTAGGTGAATGAAAAACTTTCATTAGATGGTATTTTCAGTAACAGTTCTTATAGTTGCTGTATTTTTGTTATTATTTTGAATGATGGTCCCAGAGCTCACCGGCTTGCTGTAATAATACGTATTTGTTCTGTAGAATGGTTTGTTCATTGATAAATACTGCTGAAATCTGATAGATAATGAGATTATTGTGCTGTGTAGTGTTTGGCTTGCGAGAGGTGGTGTAAGAGTGTGTGTGAGCACATACTCTAGAGATGACAGACAATGAACACATTAGGAAGCTTAGTGGAAATTAACAGACCAGAATTCTCAGACTCAGAATAGGGCACTGTGAACTTGAAGCATTCCTTCACTGAATGGGTGTCAGAGAATCTGATATTGTGGAACTCCCAAATAAGATCCAGAGCATCTCCTACAAGACTGCTCTGATTTGCTGGACTAGAATAGCTCTACAAGACAATTTATATAGACCAGTGGCAGCCTCAGACAGACAGTTCTGTATGTGATGCAGGTCAGAGCAGACGTGTGGCAGATACTGGTACTGGAAAAGGCTGTGATGAGAGTGACATTCTCTAAGGCAGTGTTCCTCACCTGATTTCCAGCAGTATTCCTCACCTGTTTTCCAGCAGTATTCCTCACCTGA